ACACACACACACACACACACACACACACACACACACACACACACACACTGTGCATGTCACTTGGTCCAACTAAGGAGATGATCATGTGCTCTTTGCCCAACCAGGGGCGTCATCATATGTCATGGTGATTTCTGTTCATTTTCTTTTGACCTTGATATATTAGTCAGGGTTCTCTAGAGTCACAGAACTTATGGAATGTCTCTATACATTAAGGGAAATTATTAGAATGACTTATAGTCTGCAGTTCAATTAACCCAACAATGGGAATCCAAGCCTGGGTCAGAAGCCTGTGTCTTCCAGCCTCAAGATCTGTATCACAGGTGTTCCCTCCATTTCTGGAGTGTAGATCATTCCAGATGTAGTCAAGTTGACAATGAGGAATAGCTATCACACTTGGATATCTCTGTTATCTGTTAATTGGAATATTCTCTCTTTATCCTCAGATTTTGAGGTTTGTGCTCCACTGAGAGACCTTTGCACTTACAATCTGTAGGGAGCTAACTCTTGCCTCTTTCCTTCCTCCCATCTCCACCCTTCTGCTCATTTTCTCTGCCTATCTCTCTTTCCCACTGTTAAATGACTTTCCCTGGGATAATATGAATAAATATCTCTTCATCCGAGAGAGAGAGAGAGAGAGAGAGAGAGGGAGAGAGAGAGAGAGAGGGAGAGAGAGAGAGAGAGAGAGAGCGCGCGCTTAAGTGTAGCTTGGTAACTTATAGGAGTATCAGTAACCAGAAGGCAACTGCATCATCAAAAGCCACCTCCAATGTGGCTGACAGCTGCAGCTTCAGGCACCTCCCCCATACCTGGTCACTGCTTATAAAACTTGGGGAGCAGCCTTGTGAATATTAGACATTTCTGAGTTTCTCAAGCCTCACATGTTTCCTTAGCGTCTTGAGTCTTATGAGCTCCTGGCTCTGGGGGGCTATGTTTCAGTAGCTACACAACACTTGCTTTCTTTTTCTTCATAGTACCATTACATTCCAATATTCTATATGTTAATTCAATTATTGTTTATTGTTTGCATTCTCCAGGATAGGCACTACCCCACAATTCCTACTTTATCTTTAATATTTAAAAGAGTGGCTGATACTCAAATATTTGTTGAATGAATGCAGCTAAAACCCAACTTTAACCTTCTGGCCATTTGGTGCACTCAGCAGGTCTCCCTTAGATGGATCATGTCCGGTCTGGGTGCATCTATATTTTCTGTATTGCAGCCAGAATCCTGTTGGCTCTACCAAAGCATTGCCTTCTTGAGGACCTGATTTTGACACAGCTGGTTATATTTAGAAGTTTTGTTTCCATTCCATAAAATGTGAAAGATAAGACCTCACTGAAGTGTTTTGGACTTCCCATGTCTCAGAGTCAGAACTGCAGAAGTGATTAGCAAGATTCTGGTTGCTTCGCAGTATTATTTCAGATGGTAATGTGCAGGTGCTGTTGCCTTCTCTGCTGTTTTTATTTTCAACTGAAAACAGTGCCTTAAGTAAAGTCAAATGGTTCCTTATCCTTCTTGAAAATTCTTAAAAGTCCAAAAGGCCAGTGGTTGGCAATTAAAACAGTGATAGTAACAAATAAAAGATTTACTGAGTGTCTTCTTTGTGCCAGCTACTTCTCCAGACACTTGTAAGTGTATTATCTCGTTTGCCTGTCATAACAACTGAGTGAAAGAAAATCATGATATTGGGAATGCTTTACAGATGACAGACCAGAGGTCATAGAGGAGGTATGTCTGTATCCTTGGAGTCGGCATGTGACAGTCTATCTGCAGAGTCTGTACACTTGTGTGCTCCAAGCTCTGCTGGTGAAATGCAGCAGGAGTGGGAGAAAGGGAAGCTTGCTTTGAAATGCAATCCCATGACTTGGAGGAGCCATAGCAACTGAAAAACGCTGTCTTCTCAAGTGAGCCCTCTTGCTGTTTCCCTGCTTGATACTAGAAGCAGGTGAAAGACCTCCAAGAGACCCCATTACTATCCCTAGCCAAGAAGCAGGTTGCTTGCAACCCTCTTCCCAAGCTCTTCCTCCGTCTTGGCTGCAGGAGCCCCTGCTCTTTAGTTGAATTCTGAGAGATGTTGTTGACAGTGAGAACCCCTACCTAAAAATCTGTCCCCTGGCCCCAGGCCAACAAGCAGTTTACTTTGGCTTAGGTTCCTCAACTCTATTCCTATCAGAGCCCCTGCCACGGTTACTTTTTATGGTTTGTCTAATGTCTAGTAACTCTAACTCTGTGAGGGCATAGCACACATGCCTTATTCATCATATCCTTCGTGCCTAGCATGGTATTGGCACGTAGGAAAAAAATAGCAATTTCTTTTTAAATGAATGGAAAGGGTATTTCTATAGGATATCTGCACTCATACTTATGTGTTTCACATTTTCAGTGGCTAGACTAGTCTCGCCTTTTTGAGAAACAATGAACCTATTTTAGAAAAGTGAAGCTCTTTTTCTTTAGGCAGCCTCCTAGATATTGGGTTTTCAGATTGTGGCCTCTTTGACAACGGTTTTGGGCTTCAATTTCCTCTTCTATCTGTGAAAATACTTAATAGAATTGTAGATGATCTGACTGTGAGCTTGAGAATTAAGATCTGAGTTTAGAACTTGCAGCTATAAATGATCTTTTTGGAAAAGATTTTAAAAAGAATTTATGCATATGGTTGTTTTTCCTGCATGTGTGTGTATGCACTGCATGTGTGCCTGGTGCCTGGGGAGGTTCAAGGAGGGCACAGGATTCCTTAGAACTAGAATTACAGGAGTTGTGGAGTACCATGTGCATGCTGGGAATGGAACCAGGTCCTCTGCAAGAGCAGCAAATGCTCTTAACCATCGAGCCGGCTCTTTAGCCTTCTAAGTTGCCTTAAAAAAAAATGTGTTGCATCACTCCATCTTTTCTCATTCTTGTCTGCTGGCTCACAGCTAGCACCAAGTTACTAAGCGATGCATGGTTTTTAGAATCTTTACACGCACTTCTTTTAAGAACACGTTCCACGTCCCTTACTTCTTTTTCCACTTTTGCTCAAGTTCTTTTTCTTTTTCCTGTTAGCTTCTTCTCCAAGCACTAGTGGGGTTTATAAAAACATTTCTGGGGACCAGTCATGACCTCATGAATGGCTTGAGGCTTTATTGAGATTGGGTTATTTCTACTATGACATCTATGTTCTTACTTTATTTACATCAGAAATAGATGTGAGGAGAGTCTCTGTGATTGGGATCAGGACAAAAACTATTTGGGCTCTTGGTCAAGCGAAGTGATTACATGTTTTTGCTCTGCTTTTCCTGACCTTGTGTGAGGCAGACCAGTGGTCTCCCTGAAGATACTGCTGTACAAATCCAGGGCT